AACAGTTAAAAACATGTCGAAATCAGGCAAGAAAGCTAAGAAGAATGAGGGGAACAAGCCAGAATCATTCATATGGAGCGACGACGAGGTAGAGTTGTTATTGAACGTGACAATATAGTACAAAGCCGCAAAATCTATGGAGAACATTGACTGGGAGTCGTGCCAGAGTAAATATGGCAATATTTTAGATCGCTTCGTGAATCACTATTTGCCTTTGATTGTCGGCCATATTTAACTTTGCGCGGTAAACACTGGCGCCAATTTTGTGAGGTCATCGTATCAGAAAATATTCGGATTCGACCTTCCACATGTATCCAAAATGTTAAATTTTGGATTAAAAAATTTCCACTCTGGAGAGCGGATTTAAAAATATCCGGATTTGCTTGCGAATTCGCCGGATACGTTTGGACGATAGCCGTATCCGGAAAGAAACAGTTGCAGATTAAAAAATACGTGTGGACGGGGCCTAAAATTAAAGATGCAAACTAAATTCGATGCAAAGCTGAGCTTTATGAAACATCTCTTAAAACAAAAGTTTGCATATTTAAATTATTTGGATTTTTTATCATAGGGGTAGCCACTCGCCGTTAGATAACAGGTAAAAAGACAAAAATACTGCATTCCATTTAAATCTAGACGAGGGTAAAGGAACAATTTTGAATTTTCCAAGGAAGGCTGGATTAGGAACAACCTGTTATGACTGCCACCTGGTATGAAAGTCTAAGGACTGAATTTATAACTGCAGTTCCTGTTTCAGGATTGAAAAAGCCAACAGGAACATGAAAAAAATTCTAGTGGCTGGTGGAGCACTTTGTCATTTGGTATGACTATTTTTTGTCCGAGTTTTTTTTTTTTTTAACTTACGCAATGTGAACTTTATTAAGAAAGCTATTGTGAAGGTTCACCTTCGCTTAAGTTTGACGAGTGTTTTGCTGTGCAATCAAGAGTTCTCTTCATGGCAATTTCCCTTACCTCTGTAAGTGATCCAAAAAACTCATTTTCAGTTTTATTAAAACTTTGCTTGAACGCCTCTACCGCCTCAAATTAAAAAGGTCAAGGTGCAGTTATCCGTGCTAAATATTAGAGTTTTTCCAGAAACCTGCTTATTTCCATGCTTATTACCATGCTCGTAATTTGGCTCAAAGACTGGAGTAAACCCCTTAGTTCAATATGTTAAGTCATAGTCTCTGTGTAGTGATATAAAACCCAATATTTAACTGCCATTTGCGGATGATTGTCCAACTGGTAAGTATATAACAATCGCAAAGGTCGGTGAATTCTGCGATGCACATTTAAACGATATCAGCCCAAAATTAACTGGAATTGTTGTAACCAAAAAGGTTCCTTTACTTGAGGAAAGACTTTCCCGAACGGATTTTTAAGGCCGAAATGATAAATTTACTCTGGGATGAAAAAATTGGCATTTTTTGCTTCCCGTATTAAAAAAAAAAGTGAAATACAGAATATACCAGCTTAGACTCAACTGATAAATATTAAATCTGTCTGTAGGGCATCATTTTTGCAAAGACTTCCTTTTCTGAACTGTCGGGTTAAATTGAATGAAATGAATCATTTAAAGTAAATGAAGACTATAAAAAATAGTCAATCCTGGCGGCAAAGTTTTGATCCGCTTCCCAGGCGTTGAAATTACCGGTAGAAAACATTGCTATTGTTATGGTAAGCGAGTGGAATTTTTGAACTAGAGCCATCATCAAAAACATCAGAGGTTTACCAGATATACATTTAGGTGGTTCTTTATTTCGGATATATAATGTTCCTTTTTTTTTTCTTTTTCGTTCATTATTTTGTTACGAAAGGGGCATCGTATTCGGGAAGTAAACATTAAATTTGATTCCTTGATAACAGGATCTTTTTTTTATAATTCTGTATGCATAACAACTCTGTTAGTGGGGAAGTAATTAAATCATAACAGCTCTTGTCTTTTTTTCTTTTTTCTTTTTCTTTTTGAAAACTGAACAATTTTTCATTCCATCGTGCAGTGAATCTCAACAAGAGCCGAAAAAGTATGATGACAAACTTTTCATACGAACTCAGTGAAGATTTGTGACATGCCACACTAACAACTATCTTATACGAAGGCCTCGAGAATGCTCTTGGCAACGAATCTTTAGACAGGACCAGTCACTCGCTAATTGCGCAATACCACATCCTTCTAAACTCTGTTATTGAAAAGCTTCTACAACTGTGTCAAGGCCGGTTATTAACCGGCTTGAGACAGAATTTGGAATTTATGTAAAACTTTTCAAAAGGGAACTAAATGCCTTCAGGGGACCCTGATATCTGACTAAAAGGATTCGAACACAGATCAAAGCGACTCTATCATTTACTCTAGTTTCAGTTTATAAGAAGGGCAAGAATTGAAGACACTTGCCAGAAGCCGTTATCATCCGCCGATCGCTGCGTACTGATTTCGAGACTGGAGTTTTGGTGTCAACTGCGGCGCTAATTAAGATGTGGCTTTTCATCAGAAATTCCAACTTTCCAAAAAATTTTTTTCTTGCCTTTTATTTTTTGTCAGGATGTTCAGCAAAACAAGGTAGGATAATACAATGAGAACATGCTTTTAAAACCTACAATGAAACGTGCGGATAGTTGGCATTTTAGAACGAAGTACGAATGGTAATCTCATAAGTAAAACTGATTGAAATGCCAGCTGTTGAAATGAAAACCGTTTATATTTGTGTTTCAGTTCCATTGTAAACCTCAAGCTAATTTGCGTTAAAGAGCCGACGTCCCATACTTATAAAAACTTGTAGGGACGAAGCACTTAATTCCTTGAAAAAATTTTCTAAAAAATTAAGGAAAAAAAAAACAAAAAAACTCACAACCATGTGCGTCTCTAAGGCAATGCTTTATGCTGAGGTTGATTAGAAAAGTACCAGTTGTCTACAAAACCGCACAGTTTTGTTTCATGAAATGTAGATGCCTGTGAGTATTCTTACCATCGCTGTGAATCGCTTGTGTGCGCGGCCGAGATTGAACACCCTTTGTGAGACAAATGAGGCCGCCTTTTTTCAGTAAAGATGTTGATGCTGTTTACTCAATCCAATGTTAAATTCGTTTAAATTTTCATTGAATACTGCCAGGAAAAACTGCACCTGTCATGAGGATGGACGACGACGACGAACAGCATTTGTTCAAATACTTGTTTTCAAACTACAATCCACAACTGC